CCCCCCCCCCCCCCCCCCCGACGAAATTCCGGCAAAATAGGATAGAGGTACCGTACCCATCGGCGAAGGGAGGCCGGATTTGACCCCCAGATTGGTCCGGCAGGTGGCATTGCAGTCTGTTATATATTTTAGTGTAATTGAAAAACTATGACCAATGGTATCCTAACAATCATCAAAGAAGTTTGGTGGTGCGGAGTGCATGCTTCATTGAGTTTGTTACGATAAAAATCTCGTTTTATCGGGGGTTTCAAGGGGGAAGCGCCCCCTTGGCGGGAGTTCGGGGGCAGCACCCCGAGCAGGGTTCAAGGGGCGGCATCGCGAAGATTCTTTATGGATAGCATTGATTTTCTAAAAGAGTTCCGACTTCCGCGCGAAGAATCGCATGTCTTCGGTAAAAGATGCGATCGCGTCTTCTCCTTCTCACCGCAACTCCATATATTCCCACAAATCCTTGGTCGAAAACTGGTTCGAAAAATTCACAGCAATCTATATTGAATTTTGGATTGAACAACCAAAATATTCAATCTGAAAGTAATAAACATGACTCTCGATTGATCCACGTTTTTGTTAATTTCCCCAACACGGACTGCGGCAGCAGGTCGAAGAAGAAGGAGGCGAAGAAATCGTTGAAGAAGAAGAAAACGTACGACGTCGTTTTCTTAAATGTTTAAAGAAAATCTTTTGGGCTTTGAGCCTTTGACCCATCCCAACACTCCAGAAGCCCAATTCCCCAAAAAAATACGGACTAAGCCAGAAACCAGACGGCAAGTCACGGAGTAACTCATGCTAAATATTTGTTGACTAATTTTTAGTTGTTTTTCAAAGCTTTGTTTGTTAATCCGTATGTAAAATTTGCACTAAATAGGACTAAAACATAATGACTTTCCTAATCTAGGACTTAAACTTTTTTATTCCCTAAATAGGACTTAATAATGACCTTGTGGCACTACTAAAATAATTGCGAACAGAGGGGGAGAAGTTCGCCTCTAATTCTACATAAACCGCCGCTATTCAAGATATAGAGTGGAACTAGAGGCAGACTGCGTTCTGCCGCTAATCAAGCCGCTGCTAATTTTAGAGGCGGAATTTTTCGACGCTTAAGTAGAGGCGACATTTTTTGCCTCTAATAGTAGAGGAGGACTTCTTTGCCACTACCTTTCTAATTCATTAGAGGGGGGATAATCTGCCTCTAATTTTTTTTATATTAAAAAAAATATAAATAATTATAATATTCTGAATACAATATAGAACAATACAAATAATATTCAACCATTACACAATATCATCTTTTCAAAAACTCACAAGACATACAAATTTGCAAAATAAGGTCAGAATACATAAAGGATTTCTAAATAAGTTTTCAAGAAGTCACAAGTCATCCTCAATACCTTGCAAAACTAAATCTAAACATAACTAAAGTGCATACCATATTCTCTGCAACCTCAACATGGGGAATGGGTCCAGTTGTGTGAAGTGCCCCACCCTTCTTTGATGCTTGGTTTGCCTTTGCTCGAGCCGATATTGCAAGAAATTCTGGTGAATCCCAATATTCAGTAAGTTCTTTCCAAGCCGCATCTCAAATTCATTTAAATCATCAAAATCATAATCAATTGAGTCATCTCTAATATCAAAAATTGGCTTATCTTCCCCG